TATATATATATATATATATTGTTTTTTTTAAAGGAATGGTCAAAGGCTATTCTATGAGTCTCCAATCGCCTCTAATTTGTCTAACAATTGGAGTACCATCTGCGAGGTTATTTATGGTTAATTCAATGTCAAAACAGTCCATCATTGATCATCGGTGAATTTCAGTTCATTAAATTGTGCTATATTTAAACATCGATGAATGATGATTAAGCATAATATGAATAATTTCATTTTAAATAATTAGGGTGTAAAATGTGGATATATGAGGCGAAATAGAGCTATGTTGGCTACTCAGAAATTATAAATACAAATACAAATTGCCATTCTATTCGTGGACATGCAAATAAAATTTCATGTCAAACTGTTTTAATATCACAAATATACTTATATTTACAAATTTTATTTTATATGCCTCATAATGTCTTGCATTAAATTACTACCTTCAATATTTATTTTCTTAGATAAATATATTTATAATCTTACTTGAATCATTTGTGAGCAAAAATTCAATTATAGATTATAAAATAGTAAATTAGGAGGCTACGAAATAAGGACATTTTATAAGAGATGTAATATAAGAATCATAAAACAATAAAATGCACTGTAAGAGAAAATAATATGCATGACACAAAATAATAGGCATAACCCAACCAGATGAATTCGGGATCCTAGAAGGCTCCTAGCCGGACAGGGTTTGGTCCCTACAAAGATGTCTGACCGACCAGAGTTAGGTGCCCATGGTACCTCCCGACTTGCTTCATTTTGGTAGGTGTCCTTTGTTGGGGGCCCGGTGATGTCGATTTGACTATTTGTAGAGAATTTATCCATGTACAGGTCGGATGGAAAGGTTCGACCAACTGTTTCGGGGCCGGGTGATTCGCTTTACTCATCTGGTTGGACTAGAAAAAAAGGTTCGATTTATCCACATGAATATTGTGCTGGCAGGTTGATTTCTAGGAAGATAGTCGTATTTTGTCCGTCTGGGTAATGCTTTCCTCCCGGTCTATAGAAGTCAAACGACAACACATGGGTATTGGATTGTCCCTGATGGACGCCCATCTTTCTCCGCCGGTTGTGGGGATATTCTCGAGATTTGTGCTGACACATTTTTTATATTAAAAATTTTTGATTCACTTGCTCCTTGATGATAACAGTTGCGATAAGGATAAAAGAATCTTAATTTTTTGATGCCACTCTTCTGGAGCAGCTAATATCTCTAAGGGCCGAGTAAATCACCTTCGGAGAGGAAGTTTCAATCTCCTGATTGTATTCTGAAATGAATAGAGTAGACAAGGTTATGATGAGAGGAGAGTTGATGTAGTTGGAATATGTCATGGTTGATAGTCTTGTAAAATTTTTCTTTTCCAACTAAGTAGTTTTAAGCGGAAAAAATTTCTTCCCGACTGAATATGGTTGTAACTTGATGAAAAAGGTGTGAACATTTATTTTTGTAAATAAATTCATATATGCAAATTTAATTTTTTTGTTCATCGGTACGTGTGTTGGATTTGACTCTTTTCCTGTGCTTTGATATGGTAAAAATTCCCTACTGCTCTTTTGTCGCTTCAACTTCTATCATGAGTTATAAGTTTGTTTACTTCTTCTCTATGTGACCCCCTCTTCTTCTCCTCGTCGCTCGTGGCTCCTAAGTACTTCTCAGAACTCTTCAGTGTGAACTTACTTGGGGTTGTGTCAGTTGCTTCAGATGGGTATATAACAAGTTTGTTGAAGTCATTTGACTTATGGTTGGATGTTCGTCTTTGATCGACCGCGGAAGGTGAGAAATTTGTGGGCTACTTTGGTGACAGGCTGGTTGTGTATGTCGATCAGTTTAGACATGGTCCAAGTTTATCTCTCTGTAGTGAGATGAATTTATCTTTAACAGTTATGGTGTCATCATGTGTAGGTGACACCAAATTGTGCTGTGATAATCATGACTTTCATCATCTTCTTTGGTTAGCGGAAATTTCATGGTCCATTGAACTCTTCTCCTATTTATTTTGGGTCCAAAGTTAATATGAATTACTACGCCATTTTCTCTTTCGACCCCAAACTTTGGGTAATAGGGTTCAAGATTAAGGTTAAGGACTGGCGGTCGAAGTTTATAGTTGTTGCGCACCGGAGAGGTTGTGGGATTTCTGTCCAACCCATTACCAAGGAAGAGAAGAGATTGAAGCTTTTGTCAGAATACATTCGTTGCTATGTTGAGATGATTGAGGGAGAGGAACTGTCAATGTTCCAGTTCACTGAGCCTATCGTCGTCAACAGGGTCTTATGGCCCAAAAATTTCGGCGACATGACTTTGAGTTTGTGGGAAGTGTCAGATATCAGAGAGAAGAAAAGTATGACAGCGATGGAGTTAAAGGCCTCCGAAAGGAACCCTAAGATGAAGAGGGGGACCCTCATTTCACGATTGAGGACGCCTCTAGGAAAATCAGACGTTGGTAAGAAAACTCGTTTCTTTTTTTTTTCTTTTTGAAATGTTAGCTCATTAGAGCAAGTGTGGGGACCTCTGGCGTGCTCCGGGAGACTTCATCTGGATCGTCAAAGTTCCTAGAGTCGATCTCTGGAGAAGAGACTCTCCCTGGCGGGGTACTTGAGTGGAAATGAGAGATATGTGTCCCTTATCTCGTCCCTCAGGATAGGGTTGCACGCAACATTCATCTCTCATTTTGGCCCCTATTTCATTTTCCACAGAGCCCAGGGCCCACATGCTCTTCTTTGTTGTCTACGCTCTCACAAACTGTTCTAGGAAAAGCTTTAGGAAGTCCGGAAGGCTGCTGATGCTTCCGGGCGGAAGCGAGTGGACCCACTTTAAAGCTGATGACCTCAAAGTGGTAAAGAACAATCAACACTTGAGTGCATCTGAGACCTTCGGTAGACACATTGCCGATTCGAACGAGGAGATGTGGTCGTTGGGATTTGACTAACCCTGATAGGCATCCAAAGCGGAAGCTTAAACTTCACTGGGGTTTCAGCTCTAGAGACGTGAAGGGAGAAATGTTTCTTTGATTGTTGTAGTGTTTTGGTGCTCCCAAGTCGTTGCTTCTTCACTTGTTCGGATCCCGTGTTGTGCTGGTATTGCGAGTCACTGGCCCTTTTGGAGCTATTGTTCAATCTTCTGTTGTTGTGTGTCAGTGCGACCTCATGTGGCGGGTTCTACTCCTGGGGGCCCGACTCTCTGCTAGAGCTGCGACACTCGTTATGACCTCTATGATTTGACCCAACACTTGGTTCATGATCTGAGTCCTCATCCATTGCATCCCTTGTTGCATGTGTTCCTCTAAGTCTTCTCGTGTCAGCTATACATTGGCTCTTTCTCTCTGTGCACTCTCTTCTCTCTACGATAACTATGCTCCTCTTCTTGTCGATGTCATGACTCTACACTCACCTCACATTTTAGGATGTTGAATCCAAAAATGTCCCGGAGACACATCTAAGGAATAGAGCGTTAGCAAAAGCATTGGATAGAACAATAAATTCGTGTAATATTTATTATTGAAATGTACCTCTATTTATAGGAGGGTTGGGGGTGAGAGGGGTGGGGTTGGGGGAAGGTGTATGATTACATACCATACCCCTAATATGTGTAGATATGGTGATTGTATTTTAGTCAAAACATGAATATTAGGCCGGGAGTCCTGAAGGCTCCAAGCCGGACGGGGGCGCGGACCCTGGAAGGCTCTGGCCCGTTTCTAAGAAGACATCTTACTCGACATATCCTGGTGCCCATCACAGCCTCCCTCCTGGCTTTATTTTGGTCGAGTGGTTGTTCGCTGGGAGCTCGATGTAAATTGTCAACTTGACTATTTGTTCAGAGTTTGTTCTTGTACATGTCAGAAGTAAAGCTCCAGCCAACTGTTTCGGTGTCGGATGATTTGCTTCGCTCATCCATAGGGGCCGAACTACATGTGCTGAAAGGATGATTTACATGAAGATGATTTACATGAAGATGTATTTGATCCCTCGGGGAAACGCTTTTCTCCCGGTGTATGGAAGTTGTCTAGCTATGCATGGGGATCAAATTGTCCTTGACGGACCCTCACGATGCCACATCGCCTTCCCACGCCAACCGTCAGATATCCTCGAGATTCTTGCTCACATTTTTTTCTAAACAGGATTATAATATATAAGGCCATATCAAATGTTTTAATTACACGTATGATATCTCATATATAATATAAATAAAGGAATTATCTAGATACATATTAAACTAACTTAAATGAACAAAATGAAATACAAAATTATGATCAGCACATGATTAAGTCATAATTAATAATGGGCCACTCATCGCTCAATTGCTCCAAAATTATATTTCTTTATAAAAGTCAAATTTGGAGTTATACATAAATAGTAATATAAAATAAAATAAAATAATATTTACATACATACCACTTAATTCTTATACATTTACATATCAAACTCTTAAAATGTAATTTTTTGCATACATGTCATATTCTCTATCCATGTAGGAACGGGGCGGTATATATCTAAATGCCCCAAAATAAACATAGTTTAAAATTAATATTATATTATATTATAATTATTTAAATAATGGTGAAAATTGTACTAATAACCAGGGCAGTTATTAAGCTCGTTAAATAGCTCGTGTTCGCCTCTTTTGATAAGTAAACGAGCCGAACACAAACAATATTTTTACACTAGATATGTAAATGACCTGAACACGAATAGATATTTGTTTGTTTCTTTTAAGCTCATTTTGCCTCGAAATAATTAAATTATATATATAATATCATTTACAAGGCAATAAGAATTTATAGTCAATTAAAATTGTTACTTAAAACAAATAGGATAAAAAAATATTAAATTCTATTTAAATGAATATTTTAATATAAATAATCAAATTTTAAATCTCGTCTTTACTCCTTAGCTGCGTGAATAGTTTGCGAAAAGCTCGTATTCGATTCTCTAAACAAACGAGCCCAACACGAACAATAATATTTTTAAACGAGCGAGCCATGACTCTTTATTAAATTTACAGTTGTTAACAATCCCATCATAATCTGATCTCCTGTAAAACTAAAATTTGAATTAATTTTCTAGAATAATAAATAATCTAATCTAATTATTTTTGGGGCCGCTTTCCCATAAAACTATCATACGCCTGGCTTCTGCTTCCGCTCTTCTCATCCCTAAATCGAGTCCCCTAAATCGAAGAGGAGCGGTGAGCGGAGAGGGGATCGGAGATGGGGGGCGGTAACGGGCAGAAGGCGAAGATGGCTCGAGAGAAAAACATGGAGAAGATGAAAGCCGCTAAGGGTTTCCTTTCCGATTGATTTATCCTTTTATTTCGCTGGTTTTCGTTTTGGTTCTCTCGATTTTCACTGATTTCTTCCTTTCCGTGTTTGTTTTTTTCAGGGAGTCAGCTTGACTCTAACAAGAAGGCCATGAATATCCAGGTTTTTTTTTTCTCTACACATGTTTAATCATCCTTTTAATTTCTTAGGTTTTTTTTTTTACTGTTCTTGAAGTAATCTACTGTGTTCTTGATGATCTGTCTCGTACATGAAGATCTAATACTCGTATTTGCTTTTCTGGTGTATTATTTGAACTCCGCAGTCCACTTGCCCCTTGGTTTCGATGCTATGTTTTGGAACAGTGATCTGTGGTTTAGGGTTTGTGTTTGTGGAATAGTCTGAGAAGTGATCTGTTCTTTACAATAAGTTTAGTTTGAATTTAAATTAAAACAAAAATCATGAATACTTTTGTGCTCAAGTGATAGGGTTTTTTTTGTTTCGATTGTGTTTCTTGGGTTAAATTTTCTAAACCTTGTATTATTTCGGCAATTCACCATTGAATTTTATGTTATTTGCTTGCATTAACTTCAAAATATATTTATTAAAACTGGATGCTAATTGATTATCTTTGTTGGCCTTCTTCTTTCAAGGAGTATAAGTTGTACTTGATTGCTTTTCTCCGTTATTTGACTCACAGTTAGGTCTAATACTACCATTTTTATTAGTCAGAAAGTCATGATGGATTGGAATATTATTTAGATTCTTGAGAATTTAAAACTCAGATTGTTAGAGCATGGTATGCGCATGTTCTTGGGACAGAAACCAAGGCCTTATTTTTTGGATTCACATTGAGTATTTTGGTTGTGAGCATTATTGCTTTTAGCAGTATGTCAGTCAGGTTAAGTTTCCTTTGTATGGTCTATATGGTGCGGGATGCGGTTATATTGCATATAAGATGACTCATTTGCATCTTGATGTATTTCTTTCTAATAAATTACTCATTCAATATGTATGCATTGTAAATTTATGATTCTTTCAGAGATATTTGACTTCTTTGGAGTTTTTTTTCCCGCTTTTTCTACTTTGAGAGATACTAATGCTTCCATTCTTATAGTACCGTTTTGTATAGAACCAAGCTCTATTATCTTCTTTTTGCCAAAATCAGAAATTTATTTGTTAATTGGTCTATCATACTCACTTTTTCCTTGATGTTGGAGTGTTAAAATACTTAATTTTTTCTTCATCCCATTTATCTGGTAGGAGAGATTTGGCATTTTTTCGTGTCATTTATTCTTGTTTAGTTCAATCAATAAAAAATAAATTATACTATCCATATGATCATAGCCTTGTTTAGTATTTTTTTCGTCAAAGATTTTGTGTTTCAACTCTCTATTTAACATTATTTGTGCCTCATTTTATTCACCTTATACAAAAGCTTTTATCCTTTCCCATTTTCTTTGAATTTTCCTTTATTTCTTGCAACCAAGCATTATTTACTCTTGTTCTAAGCATTGTGCCATAATTTTTTATATGAACCATAGTCTTATTTTTGGACATTGTTATCCTTGCTCACTTTATCATAGTTGGGCAAGTTGTGACATTTCACTTATGGGTGATGTTTAGTAGCAAAGATTTGCCCATACGTGAGTTCCATGGCAGAAACGTGCTGGAGCTTCTCGCGAACTAGGTCGGGGAATCATCTCAGCCGGCAAGCCTTAAGAAATGTTCTTTGCACTCGGTGAAAGTTTATCTTTTTAGAGTTGAAGCTAGGTAGTTAAAATTGATAAGTGCTCTCATGAGTGCTATTTAATATCATTATACCATGCAAGTTTATAGGCTTTTGTAACTGCCTTTGATGTAAGAGTCAAAGGTGATGAGTGATTAAAAAGTCAGTTTTAGCCATGCAAAGGTGTAAAAGATTCAAATATTAAGATGAATGTATAGAAAAATGAAAAATGATTGATTGAAATATATGATGAGACAAATGAAAAGAAAAAGAAGGATTGTTTGGACTTGACACGAAAAAGAGTAGAACATGCACAGAGGTGAGGGGATGGTATTAAAAATTTATGAAAGATGACAACACCTAATAGAATGAACCAATCAAATGCAAAGAAATACCAGCAATAGGGGAGCAGAATAAAGTTGATTCAGTATTATTTTTAGATGCATATGATCTGGCCCAATCCTAATTGCATCCTTAGCATATCTAGCCAAATTTAAGATTGTAGAAGGTGAAGAGATTGAGAGAGGAGTGACCTAATGGCTTGCTAGTTGGCACTGGTCACTGGTAGCAAGAAAAAAAAATAAAAAACCAGAAACGAGTAGAAAGTTACTGAAGAATGCTTCATGGACAGGTTATAAAGTTAGGAAAATGGACTGAAACCGGCCTCGTGGTTTCAGTTTATTTTTTTGTTTCTTCATCAAATTTTGCTCATATATTAAAAATAACTGTGTTGAATTAAATAAATTGTGAGAAAGCAAAGAAAGGGAAGGGAAACGGAAAACTAGGAAAAGGAGTGGAGTTCAGAAGAAGATGCATGTTATTTCACACGAAAACATGCTTTTCTCAAAAGGAAATCCTGAAGATACATACATATTATCTCAGAATTTTAAGAACAGAACAAAGTAGCTAGAAGAATTTGTTAATAATTAAATAATTTTCCAATTAAATCTTCAAATAAATGGTCCTCCAAAGGTACAAGTATAAAAATATCGCTAACAAGCAAATAAATGACACATTTGTGGTAGTCTGGTAGATAACAAAACATTCCATCATATTAGCCCAAAGAATGAAATGGCTACAGATATGATGGGTTGAGTCACTAAAGAGTCTGGCATATTATTATTATTCAAGCATTTTGATTATTTTTTGGTTAATATGCTTCTGTTTACCATCTGCTTTATAAGTCTACCAATAACAATATAGTTTTTTTTTTTTTTTTTTTTTTTTTTTTCTCTCTGATATTTTTCATTAAATTGATTACTTTGATGCAGTGCAAGATTTGCATGCAAACATTTATATGCACCACATCGGAGTCTAAGTGCAAGGAACATGCCGAAGCAAGGCACCCCAAGAATGATCTTCATCAGTGTTTCCCACATCTGAAGCAGTAAGAGCACCTCCTATGCTATGGCTTTTATGATGTGAAACAAAGTCATGTTTATTGAAGTTAACCAAATATAAAAAATGTGCCTGTGATGAACTCAACAAATGTTATTGCTTAAATTTATGTCTTTACCCGCTGCATTTGTATTTTAAGATGGCAGAACTTTTGATGAGATTTTATGTAATCCAATGGGCATGATGTTATTACCTGTTTGGTTCTTTGTTATTGGAAAAAAAAAATGGTTTTTATAGTTTATTATTTAAGTTAAGATTTATTATTCATATGATATATTTATTTTTAATAAATTAATGATTATAAAAGGCATCCTAGTTCTATTTAGGGTTCTTAGTTAATTTATTTACTTTGTTCATCATGCATAAGTGTGTGGTCATGTGTTTGATGTATGGAGTAGGTTCTCTTTCTGAATGTTATGCAAGCATTACTTTATGTGAGCTGGGGGCTAAATGGTAATTTGTTTGATTGTGCTGTTGCTGTCTTTTTCAGTTTTATTCGTGACAATTGTTAAATGATAATAAAAACGTATCAAAATAGAAAGTGTATGCGGATATGATTAAATTATGAATAAATAGTTTAATTGTACCTCTAATCAGGAGGTTTTTTTTTTTACTCCAATAAAATATGTTTTGAATTTGGTTCTCTTACTTGAGAAAAAAAATATTAGAGTAGGACTCGGGATGCATTTGGAGTCCAATAGTGGGGCGTCATGTGTTAAGTGAGCCACATATATTTTAATACCTATCAATCCAAGTGGGTACACTTGACACGTGACACCCTACTAATAGACTTAGGGTCCGTTTAAGGCAACTTGTGCGTTTCAGGATAAGCTGTTTATCCTGAAATGCGGCCCGCGGGCCGACCACGGGGGTCGACCCGCGGCCTACGTTTAGTGTAAAAACCTAAAAGCAGTCTCGGATAGACTGACGAAACGTGCAAACCAAACGCTACGGCGGCGTTTTGTAAATGTTGCCCGCACTTATAAGCTGCCCCAAACGAACCCTTAGGATGCGAATTGCAAATTGTCCGTAGTTGGGATATAACATTTGCTCCTTAACTGAAGAGAAGATTTTACCAACTTGTCACTCTCATTCACATATGAATAGGCTTGAATTCTTGTCTTCAATGATATATATATTTTTTCAAGATTGAACTAGAATTTTTTGGATGATTTATATGCATTACGCCCATTTCTTGTGTATTTACATATCTGACACCTATATATCAATTACACATCCCCTCATCTTGCATGAAAATATGCATCACTTTTTAAAAGTTTAAATGACATTATTTTAAATGTCATATGAAAATCTTGTGTGGCATAAAAATAAAAAGTTTAAGTTATACATAAAATTCGAGTGGTATGTATGTAAATGCCCCTAATTTTTTTGAAGATTGTGCAATTAACAAGAATTAGTTAAACAAAAAAAAAATGCAACTTTCTATAATAACATTTTTTATGAAAATAACAAGCAATCGTTACATGGAGGTGTGATAATAACATGAAAATTAGTGATAAAGTTAACATTTAAATTAATAAAATACTTCTATGAAATAAAAATCAGACATTAAACAGTAATAACATTTAAATGAATGCAAATTCCTAAATAATAATACTATTCTCTACAAATACATACAATTGCAACTGCATTATTGATACGATTATAGATTTGAAAAACATATATTTACTATCATAAGGTGATCGGATCTCAGCTCGCTAAAGTTGCAACCGCACTTCCGGATGATGATGTAGATGCAACCGCATTACCGTGTGTAGCTAGGCAGTTTATCCAGACCGACCGGCGAGCAATCACTAAACATAATATTTGCACCGGGACAGAGAGACTCATTTTCAATATTTGAATATTCTGAAGTAGTTGTTCTTTAAAGCCGGAAGAACAAAACAACTACTCTTCTTCATTAAAGCCGGAAGAGAAGCCTAATCCCAGATATCTCCTCTCTCTCTCTCTCTCTGTATATATAAATATATATATATGTAAATGAAATTAAATAATAAAAAATGCTCGAGGGGTTGATAAAGCACTCCCGTCCCCAAACGCCAATCAAATTTTCTTCACAATTTCATCCAATCAAAAGCTAATAATATTTGAGACATTTACAAGCATACCACCCAATTATTATGTATTTACATATGTAACACCTAAACATTAATTTTTACATTTATAACACCCAAACTTTTCATATCACATCAAAAATACCATCATTTAAATTTAAGAAAAAAATAAGACATACCTTTTAATGTATAGGAAAGTTGGAATGTATGTAAAAGTTAATGTTTAGGTGTTAGATATGTAAAGACATGAGAATGAAGTGGTATATTTGCAAATCTTCCAAATATCTACTGCTAAATTACCTGAAATTCTATACCTGCTGTGAATGAGAAGCTCATGATGAACTCCTCCATGAAAACAGCAGATCATCCTGCACCAGAATCGCCGGTCGCTCTTTCATAGAGACGATACAAGAGATTCGATCTCGACATCAAAGGTTCCTTCTCAAGAGTTGCAATCACATCCTTCACACAAATTGTCCGATCAGTTATAGGATTGGACAACATTCCAGTGATATGAAAGATTTGGTAGTATAAATGTAAAAAAGCAAAGTTTAGATGTTAGATGTGCAAATACATAGGAATCGGGTGTGGTATGTCTATAATTGCTCCTTAAAAAAATAGCACTGTTTCAGTTTCTATGGCCAACATTGATGTCCGGATAGAATGGTACATGTTATAGCTAATCACCACGAATCATAAAAAATGAATACTGCTTACCACCTTCATTTTGATTTTCCAGAATTTCACCAAAGTTGGAGTGGTCTCATCTGTAATAATATCTTGTTGGTGACCGGAAGATACACTCGACATATGTTAGGTATGACTCATATATTATATAAGTGATAGATGCTGGAGCGAAACAGAGCGAGCAGCGGAGCGGAGCGGAAGAATCTGTCTAATCGAGGAGTTTCGTTATGTGGGTTGGGGGTGTGGGGGTGTGGGGGCAACGACCCGGTGGTACGGTAGAGAGCATATCATCAACACCAATAGCAGGTCGAGCGGCGGCATTTGCTGCCTTCGCTCGCATCTTATCGTCCTCTTTCCGGGGGCACTAATGCACCTTCTGCATGATTTGTTAATAGAAAAGAGGATAAGTTTAAATAAAGGCCATATAAATTCATCTTTAAGAAGTAACCATTCGTTTCTTAGGTCTGTCATCTTTGTTCTTCTCTACATCAGTCCCAACTACCTTCCTTCTGCCTTCGCTCGCATCTTATCGTCCTCCTTATTCTTAACTCTTTCATTCAATTTTTTGAGATGTAAAACTCTTTAGTGGGCAAATTTTCTTGCATAACTTCCATCAATGCTAAAACCTTAAAATCAATGAATTTAAATCAATGTGAAAATTTTTTTCCTCTAGAATATTGTTATTTTTAACATAAGATTTGCATGTAAAGATATTGCCCACAAAATTTGCCCACAATGCTACCTTCGGGCAGTCACTAGTGTCGACCACAAGCCTCTTGACATCCAAATCCAGAAGGAGGAGGGTCTCGAGACCAGTGAGACCAGGAAGAGTTTGTTGAAGTCTTTCTAATGAGTGAGAATTTTGATGCAAGACATTGGGACTTGCTAATCCAGACCCTCTGCGCGTGGGACGCTTTCACGTGGATAGCTGCAGAGATCACCGGAGTTTCGGTTGACGTCACATGTCATCCAATCAACATCAACCCATTCTCTCAACCCAAACAATTGAAGCTTCGATCAACTCCAAGAACTTTGGCTGAGTCTATCTCAACAGAGGTCCAAAAGCTGGAGGAGACAAGCTACATCTGCGAGGTGCAGTATCCCAACTGGCTCTCGAACGTGGTGATGGTTCGAAAACCCAACAGAAAATAAATAATGTGTGTCAATTTCACCAACCTTAACGTTGCTTGTCCGAAAGACACATTTCCCTTGTCAAGAATTGACACATTGGTAGATGCCACAGTTGGCTACTTGGTAATGAACTTCCTTAGTGCATTCTCAGAATACTATCAAATAAAATGCATCAGACCGACGCAAAGAAGACGACTTATATTACTGCACAAGAAATTTTTGTTTTGATTAATACCTTTCATACTAAAAAATATTGAGGTGACCTATCAATATCTTATGGATGTAATTTTTTCAAATAAAAATAAAGAAATGTTGATGTGCATGTGGATGATGACTTGGTTAAAAGTAAATCGGCTGAACAGTATATAGAAGACTTCAAAGAAACTTTCAAAACTATAAAAAAATTTAACTTGAAGTTGAATCCTTAAAAATACGCTTTCGGAGCTTCGACAGACAAATTCCTTAGCTTTTTGTTCACAGCTGACAGTTTGAAAGGCAACCCGAAAAAGGTCCAAACGATCTTATATATGCCTTCCCTTCGGAGCACCAAGGAAGTCCAAAGATTAACTGGTCGGGTGGCAAGACTTAGTCGTTTCATCTTTAAGTCTGACAATAAATGTGCGTCATTCTTCAAAGTGCTAAGGAAAAACCAGCAATTCAAAGAGAAGCTGATTGTGAGTCGACATTCAAAAGCCTAAAGGACTCACTAGCATCAACTCTACTGTTGCAAAGTCCGAAACCAACGGAAGAATTATCGTTGTAACTTGGAGTAGGACGAGAGGCGGTCAGCTCGGTACTAGTCAGAAAAGATGTGGGGAAGCAATTTCTGGTGTATTACACCAGCCGAGTTCTTTAAGGATCAGAGACTAGGTACCCAATTATAGTAAAACTAATATTTGCACTAATTATTTCCTCTGGCAAGCTCCGATCCTATTTCCAGACATACCTAATTCGAGTTGTCACCAATCACCCCTTGAAGTTCACACTCACTTAGCCGAAGCAGTCTGGTTGGCTGTTAAAATGGGCAGTGAAACTCAGTGAATATGACATCAAGTATGTCCCCAGGACAACTATCAAAGCGCAAACGATCGCCGATTTCTTGGAGGACTTCTCCTAAGCAAAGGAGTCAGGTATGGAAGCCCAACCAGTGATAGAACGTAGATATTGCACGTCAACAGAGCATCTAAACAAATGACCGTTGGACTGGGATTGGCTTTAGCAGCACATCTTGTTAGCAACATGCTACACGCTCACTGCATCTTTTAGGATGTTAAACTCAAAT